ACGCGCGTTCATTGGCTAATTTTAATCAATAAGCGGACGGACACAGAAATTTTTAACTTCTATCTTTTTGTTATTGTAAAAAACCAAATTGACGTCAGTTTTTCACGCGTCTGTCCTGCAGTATTGACGATGAATTTCGTCATAACACCTCGTGGATCCACAATTACTTTGACATTGTTATGACGAAATTCATGATCAACAACAGGATAGACCATTGAAAAACTGACGTAAGGAATAAATGGGCGGATTAGCACCATTGACAAGGTGTCTATGTGGGACTACTTAATTGGTGAATTCTCAGTTGCTGACTGAATGATCTACAGGTGTAACAGGCTTAGTCATTACAGGAAACTTTCTTGACGCTACATGTACAAGTTCATTTGACTCTGTAAACAAAGTCTTCTGCTGTCCATAAAATTTTCCGCTGAAAATTTAAAGTGAATGGCCTATGTTGATATCAGAAATATAGAAATCTGTATTACCCAATTTATTAATTTTACCCCTTTATCCTTCCAGAGATTTCTTACTCACTTGTAGCTTTTATTAACTCTCAAATGCTGACATTTAAAATAACCCGAACCACATGGAATTAGCCCACACAAGTACGCAGTGCGGGCCTATTTTTCCCCGAAACTCTCATCTTTGGGAAAGATAATCGTTTCTAAAAGTCAACTCTGACACAAATTAATTTACACCATTACTGACGTATCCGATGAATCTCCGCGTTTCACTCCTCTACTTTCCTAGTTTAAAATTATCGCGCAGTTTGCCACACTAGCATTTCGTCATCATAAATTCTAGTTGCGCACAAAATGAAACCTGCTCTGATGACATTTAAACCCATTACTTAATCTACTAATGTTACACAGGAAGAAATTTAAGTCAGTTCTACTCTTCTAAGAGCAGCAGTCAAACTGTTCACTCCGGCTGTTTGCAGTAAATCCCGCCCCTGTAGATTCGAAATTTAATTCAGTACTAACTCTTTGAAACTCCTTCTAAAGCTATTAACTTTTGTCCAGGGCATATCAACATGTTCCTGTTTTTTGTTTTCAACCAAGTAGTCAATGTCTTTAAAAATTGTCTACGTATTTTAAGCTGGCTTGGAATGGTTGAAACACTCCATCTGAGGCATCATATCGTAGCGAAACCAATAACTTTGAGGAATAACTATTTGCAAAAACTTGGCTAGGTGTTCCTAATAAACAAACCGAGGCCCCTACAGTAATATCAAATATATTTGCTCGGTTGCGTTGTGTTCGGACATTCATTTGCTCTACACTCGTTTGGCTGATCATTTCTCTGCCGTTCATTATGTTTTTGTTTGTTTGTTTTTTTAACCGCGCGGCCATGGGCCGAGCGCGGTTCATGGTTTACCCGTGGTTTTTTTTTTTCGCAGTT